GAGGTGTCTGACAAGCATTCACTAGGACGTCACTCGTGGTCAGAGTCCAAGAGTCTGAGTGTTTATGGTGCAGAGGAAGAATATGATTCAAATCAGAGGATTATTATTTGCAGCTGCGAAGAGAGACCACAAGGTGTCGCTCTAATGCTTCTGTAGTTTATGTTCATGTGAAAAATTTCACATAAAAAACATTTGAAAATCTCCTTTTTCTTCTGAATCACTTATCCAATCCAGAGTTGTGGTGAGACTGGAGCCTATGCAGGTGCCAGGAGGTGAACGGTAAGGTGCACCCTGGACAGGTTAGCAGTCTATTGCAGGAGTAACACAGAGACACACAATCATGCATGCATGTGTTTGGATTGTGAGAGGAGGCTGAAGAGAAAACACGCAGGTACAGGGAGAACAGACCAACTCCACACAGAAAGGCTCCAGCCGGTGGGCGGATTCAAACCCAGGACCTTCTTTCTGTGAGTTGACAGTGATAAACGCTGCACCGCCATGTTTCAAAACACATTCATACTGTTTTATAACCTGCAATTTCTAAACGCTAACAACAGTGTTGTAGTTTTCTGCAACACACAGAAACACACAAACTCAGCTACACCAAGAAATAAACATCATGTAATCCTGAGCTGCGTTCATAGGCAGGATATTTAAGGACATTTTGTGGCTTATACTGGGAAGCGTTTCAAAACTGCCAAGATCCATTCTTGAATATTACTCAGCTTTGACATTTCAGGGCTTGTTGTTTCATATTTTGCATTTCAATTTTACATTTTTAGTGAAATTGGAAAAGTTTGCTGTATGACTGGGAGAGCTTGACCCAAATTAAGGGTTCAGAAACAGGAGGGATAAACTGAAAAGCAGCTTTATTAACTTAAACTGAGAACAAATAATCCAGATTTTCAAAAGAGCCAGCCAAACAAAGAATCCAACATCTACGAATCTTCAAACAAAACATTCTGTGAGGACGGACAAGACAACAAGCAGACAGCAATTTTGGACTTAAATACACACAAGGCAATTAGGGAGAGAGGAAACAGCTGGGGAAAAGACACAAGTGAACAGAATCCAACAACACAACAGGACACAAAACTAAACAAACACCCTAAAAAAAACAGGACTAAGACATATGAACTTGACAGAACTAAACAGGACAGGACAGATAGAAAGGGACACAAGGTAATGAGCGTTCTGAAACAGAAGTGGTGCTCCCACTCCTTTATGCATTCCAAGGAAGAGGGAGGAAGTAACAAATTGATCATACCACACATCACGCGCCTCGCTATGAAACCTAACTGAACAATGGGTCTGCTGTTTTACGCCCTTGGCGTTATCAGCACTTGTAAAGGGAGTTGTCTTCTCCAACTGCTGAGGCTGAAATAGGTTCCTGTAGTTTTAGAAACTTTCACTGAACAGTCTATCGCAGTGTCACAACTAAGCATATGCATAAGCACTTAAATACTTTAAATGAATATAATAGAAATTTTCTATTACATCCCACCTTTGATTATTTTATAAAATCACCAAAACAAAATTTCCAATTCAACACCATTCAGCATCAACAGCATTGCATACTCAGAGAGTTTCACTATGTGCATCATTCTACAGTGTTAGGGGTAAAATTTTGCATGTTCATCCTCACTCTCACTAACCTCTTTTCTTCATCTAAGTCTAACATTTGTATGCAACATTCTATTTTGCCATGTCCACATGTTTGACATCAGGGACAATGAATACCACTCGACCTGTGGATAAATACAAAGACCATCTAACTGATATCAGTGATCAAAGTCAGTCTAAGGTAGCACCACAAGTAGCCATGTGTTTCCACACAGCTGCCAATCCTCTTCTGTCAGCGTCTCAACCTGGTCTTGTGTCAGCCCCCTCCTCTGTAAGGGCCAGAAAACATCTCTCTGCCTAGCTTTGATTATTTAATATTATCCTACTGCTAGTTCAGGTCGTTTTGTTCGGACTTCCTGACCCAGAGTCTACTCTACCCATTATCATGTGTATGTGTAAGCATGCTACAAAAAACCCCCTGTGGACTCTACGTCATCCTGCAATATATCAATCCAGACAGTAATGCTGAACGATGCTCTTTACCCTCAAAATACAGAGCGCCAACTTGAGCACATTTGCTTTGTGTGTTTTTTAAAATAACAAAACAGCTTTAACTAATAATTTGAATGAAAAACAATAAAAAAAAATTTTTTTTATTGCTACAACCAATTGCTACAACACTTTTAGACTCAGGACTTACCACCTGATGTGATCAGTGTCCCAGATGAGTGAATTTCTCCAAAGCCCATTGAAATCCGGAGAATCACACTTGATTGTTTTCAATAAGAATATTTTATAGCGCTCTAGTATCAATTTTGCAGGCCTGCTGAAAAGAGAGCTGATTATTAAATCAACAACACACAAAATATCATTCCCTGGAGGGATGACACCTGACAGGTTTTATTTAAGTGCACTGTTACGAAAAAAATATTAGGCCTAGTTTAGGACATGTCCAAGCATAAAACTGCCTTTCTCTTGGAAAGAGGAAACAAACCAAAACTAACTGACAAAATCTGGGGTCTGGTGTCAACTGGCATAGTTCCACCTGCTAAATACAATAATAAATTTTTGTTAGCAGCTGCACAGTTCACACAACACTAATGTTTGCTGTCAGATGCTTACTAAACACCTCATTGTAATGTTTCATCCCAGGTTTGTACTGTTGCACTCAGTTTAGTCACACACCCAATCATTGTACTTAGCTTGTAAAATAAAAATGTTTGAGATTGCTGTCATGTATTTGACAAAGCAAGTTTGTTCCATTGAAGCAGGCGTGCGTGTATGTCTAGGTGCAAGCTTCACATACATCAGAAACAAGAAACTCCGTCTGTTAGTCTCCACTCATTTGCAACATTCTATTCACTTGTGTTATGATCAAATGATCTTTCCCTGATCTAATAACAATCAACTAATTTATATATCAATTCTTAACCAACTAAGTTGACAGGAAAAGATGAGGTAAACTGGTTTGCAATTTTTAATCAGTCCTGCATCATATTTAGATGAGGCCCACAGGCTGTC